CTACTTCAACTAAACCTTCAACTCGAAAGAAACCTAATCCGATCACTTCCAATCTTCACTGATATGGATCGAGTCATTAGTCTTTTAGAAATCCTAAATTCTATTACGAAGGTGTTTCCCTTTAACTTTCCATCAAATCACATCCAAACTTTCTCTGTCCTTTTCATTGACTTTTCTTCATCATTTTTTCGTGAGCTTCATACTGATCACACTCATTCTCTTTATCTTCTTGACATAGGCTTCATTCTACGTCGTACTGTACTTCTTTCCGACGGTCAACCTCCCAAACGTACCGATTCACAACCAACTTGGGCAAAATTTTATGTTCAAATCGCTGGAACTACAATCTCCAGTTGGGATGCAGTTGAAATGGAGATCGCAGCTAAAGAGGGAAGACAAGTGGCCCCCAATTATACTAACATCACTGATGCTTCAGTCTCTTTACCCGAATCAAACTCTACCAAGTCGGCTCAAGACCTCAAGGCCCCTACTCCATTCATCTTCTTTCTTAATAATGCAGGTCGTAACAAGTTTGTCTTTAGCTGCTCTGATCCACGCACCCTCCTCTCATGGGTCACTGCAATTCGACTTGCAGCTTGGGAACGATCACGTCTGTCTGAGATTTACACCGGCACTTTACTTGCTACCCGACCGGAGGCATCTCAACCCAAGGAGAAGAGTGAGGGATGGTTAATGGTTCGTCTTCCTGGTGATACAGAATGGACTCGAGTTTGGTGTACAATTATCGGGGGAGACTCAACTGGTACTGCTTCATCAGGCTCAATGAGTCACAAGGATGGGAAGAGACCCAAACGCAATAGTATCTTTGGTCTGGGTGGTTTCGGAGGCAATCGACTCAGCTCTATCTCTCCCCAACCTGGTCTCAGTCCTGATAATGATCATGAGCCACTCTTGATCTTCTCACCCAAGAAAGGTGCCAAGAAGGTCTTGGGAACTATGAGTGCTGTTCCATTTATAGCCGCAATGTATCCCGAATCAAAAGCTTTGATCGATTCTTCGACGATGTTTAAGATTGAAGGCAAGTTTCATGCGCATGGTCCTGATGGACGACCTATCGATCAGGCCGGAGTCGAAGGATTTGTTCTTGCTACTCCAGGTGAGGGTACAGTAGCAGATATGCTTGGATGGCTCTTGAGCATCATGGATGCATTTGCTCTTTACGGTCGTCCAGCTGCACTCAATTACGATCTCAAAGAGCCATCAAGTTTTTATTTTGGATATCCTATGGTCAGTTTTTTTCCTCTTCAGCCACGTCTTTTGGAGAACAGCTCTCAACTCTTTTGTTCCTACTGAACTTTTAGGGTCCCGATTCAGATAGACTTTTTTTGGAACGAGAATGGGCTGAAGATGTCGATATCAATGAAAACAGTTTGTGCGAAATCCGGCTAGCTCTGAAGTCTATTTTGGTCCAACGCATGCAATCCATGGCTTCGCCACGATCTCAAGCTAATCAGGCCTATGTCTCAAAACCGATCTCCAGCTCTGCTAAGGATATCGAAAAATCTCAACCAGGAGTGCACAAGCCCGATGGTATGTCTCGTTTATTCAATTTGGTCATAAGCACTTCTGTGGTCATCTGGATGGAATCGTTCAGCGTTTGCCTCGTGCATCGTCCTAACAGACCTCAAACGAGAAGCCGACTCAACACCAGTGCTTGATCCTCGCCTTAGCCCCGGTGAACTACAAGGAAATCAACAGTCATTCTCGTCATCTAAATCTACAGGACTAAGTCCCATGAGCAGTGGAGAGGCAAGTCTTCTTATTGCCTTAAATATTGCCTGTCAATATAATCACCAACGGTTTACTAAACTCTTACTTACGCTACCATTTTTAATTATATTCAATATAAACAGTCCCCGGTGACTTCATCTCACTCCGCTCAAGTTGCATCACCTGCATCACCGAAAGGCAGATCTCCCGTATCCCCTCAGGCTGTGTCTACCGAACACGTATCACCTCCAGCTGCATCTTCTCAGACCACATCACCTCAAAACTCTCTCACTCTTCCGGTTCATGCGGAATTGACGGACGACATACATGAGTTCTCAAGCTACTTTTCTATACCTGAATCGACACAATCACCCGGCCAAACATCAAAACCTAACGATACATCTCCGTCAAAGTCTCAGATCTCTTCACCTGTACAGGAATCATCTACAAAGTCACCCGATCCTTCACCATCTCAATCTTCACAACAAACGGGCTCTCCTAAAACTATGGCTGTCGCATCGGAGTCCGAACCTCTTGAAGCCTATGATGACATGTTATATGCTCTCAGTCTTGCTGACGATCCTACGATGATAGAAAAAAATCTTGCTTCATCATCATCACCTCATCAAACTCCTCTCACCGAGCTTTCAAACAACTCACAACCGGATTTTTTGAACCGACCACCGCCATCCCGATCATCTCCTCCAACTATTACTATGACTGAAGCCCCCAAAACGAGTTTTCCTTCTTCTTTTGCAGCAGGCAAAAAGAGTGCTGCACGGATTGCTGCTGCTCAGGCTGCACAAGCCGCTGGTAAGGCTGCAATTCACATGCCAGGTAAAGGTCGTGGGGTGGGAAGATCTGGACCCAAAGCACCGACGAAAACTTGGAATGATGATAGCGAAGAGGAAGAAGAGGAAGAGGAGGAAGATGAGGAAGATGACGATGAAGATGACGATGATAATCTTCAGTCAATGAGGCCCTCGCCATCGATCCGTTCACCCACTGAACGATTACCCGATAGTGGTGAGTGCCTTATATCTTCAACCCATCAAATGACAAGATTCCAACCTTCACTTTCTTACCCAGGTCAGCAATCCATGCGCAATACCATGGTTCATCAACTACCTTCATCAACGCATGGTAAGTACTCAAATTGAGAATGACAATAATAGCGGTAGAGCTAAGCCGGAGCCATCGGTCACCCTTTCGTAGTTTCATCTTCTCATACACACAATCCGCATAACGGTACAGGTGAACAGCATGGTCACTTTCCAAACTCGGCGTCGCGTCGGGAGATACCAGCGGTACTACGAGAGCAACCTGAGCCAGTTGATACAACTGGTTTACGACCCGCCTTCAGTGCTCACGGTTTGCTGCATCGAGTAATGCAGGAGAAGCAAGAGAGATCAGTCCAGTCGATTCAGGAAGCAGCACATCGGTCAGGCGAGCCACTGGTACAGGTGAATCACAAACCACCACCACCACAGAATGGTTTATTAGGTGCAATTGCGAGCCATGAACGAGATCGAAAACGAGATGGAGGCATGGGAGCAGCATTAACGGAACGAGTAAGAGAAAGAAAAGCATTAGAAGGACGACAAAGAGAGATGGAGGAGATGCATCGAGTATCAATGTTGAATGGAGGAATGGGTATGATGGGGGGATATCCAGCTTATGGAAATATGATGCAAGGAGGAATGATGCCAATGATGTATAATCCATCTATGATGGGTGGAATGGGTGGGATGGGAAGTCCACCAGGTAGTGGAGGTGGATATGAACAGATGATGTATCATCAAGCTCATCAAATGCAAATGCAGCAACAAGCTATGCTAGCAGCTCAACAAGTTAGTCATTTTTACCTGCGTTTTTTTGTCTCCTTCAGTCTCTGAAAACCTATCGTACATCTATTTTTCATTGACCTCATGTATTGTTTTTTTGCTGATTGGAATTCTACTTACAGGCATATATGTCATCATTTTCAGGATATCCTGGAGGACCCAATCAAATGATGGGAGGAAATCCAAATTTAATGGGAAGTCCAAGTATGATTGGAGGAAATTTAAATTCACATCAAAGTATGTATTTGTCTAATCATCCAAATCAGACTTATTTAAATGGAAATCAATTGGGAAATTATCAAGTGATGAATGGTCCAGTAGTAGGGGGGGGTGGTGGTGGTGGTTCTGTGATAGGTCAACCTAATCCTAATCAATCCCAAATGAATTATTTTGGAAATGGAGGAAAAGGTAATCAATATCAACCCAATGAGAATGGACAATCACCATAAAGTGATTGAAACGAAGAAACGTAAATTAGATGATTGGTGGAAATAGATGATGATGATGGTTTTATTTTTATTTGTCTTCAAATCATGATTGGATTTTGTTTTGAGTTTTTGTTTTGGTTAATTTTTTTTTTTGGCTTATTTGTGGACAAGTCATGTTTTTTTCATGTTCTTTTTTTTTTGTCTTTATGTGTCAAATGTTTTTGAATGTGTGTGTTGATCCTGTGATATATAAATATAGATTATTATTTTTTTTCTTATAAAGAGCAAAAGAAAAACCAAAAAACAATTGTTTTAATAGATACATATTTATATATCTTGTTTGAAAAAAATGAAAGAAAAAAATTCTTTAAAAGGTTTTTTCAAAGTAAATGAACGAATAGATTTAAAATGTAAAACATTTTTTTTATTCAGAATTATATTTTACTGGATTAATTCCTTTTCATGATTAAATCAAGATTAAATTATGAATGAAAATCCATATTTTTTTATTCATCTGGTTTGAACTCATTTAAAGGAATGTGTTGATTTTGAATTGAAAGAAGTATGTAGGTTTGGTATTAAAAATTGAATTAAATTTGTCTTTGACTGATGGTGTATGAAGGGATAAGTTCTTTTACATGGTCTGATTACCTTTTTGAGTTTTGACAATGAAAGTCATGATTGATTGGTTTCTCAATAAATTGTGATATGTTGCAAAAAAAGAGTTATTTATGGGTTTAATTTAAACAGATCAAATCATCATGGAGTATTGATTAAAAGTTCATCTATATACATATCATTTTTTTTAAAAAAAAACTTATAAATATACCTTTAATGAAAGAATAAAAAACAAGGGGGTTGATTAAAGAATTTTACTAAAATCATCCTCCCCTTGCGAGGATTGACCACACCCTTTTATGCTGTATTCCAATTCAAAAGTTTGCAGTGTTGTACAAACACTATTGGAATGTCTGACACGCAGTTGGCACAAAAACAATAGCGAGAGTCAGTTTCGATCCGACGACCTCTGGGTGACTTTCACAACACGTGTGTCGATATGAGCCCAGCGCGCTACCAGCTGCGCCATCTCGCTTGTGAAAGGGCACCACTCATTGAGGGTTATGAAGTATTCTTTGTAGAGATCAATGTCAGGCGATGACATTCAAGATCAACTCTGTGATCTGTAAATGAAAGTGAGGTATTTGATGCGTGTAATGTCAATTTCTTCATGTCACCAATCAAGACACTCCTCATTACCGTTCTCATTCGTAAGGCCTGAAAGCCAAGGATCGCAGTGGGCGTCGTATCTGGGAATGACATTTTTTATAGGAGCCAGTTGGCATTCACAGTCATTTCAATGAGGTTCGATTCTTGACTTAAATATGTACATATTGGGTCATCCAAAGATTGTCAAATTGGTCAACCTTTCATCCTGTTTTGAACCGCAAAAGTTCAAAACACAGAGATGTTGAATTTGAACTTCCGATGTTATTAGAATGCTAGCGCTTCTCATGCCTTTCTCCTAAACCTTGTAATCATCAAAAAGAGTTACCTGCTTTTTATCAACTCAGAACTCAAGCGTTTCGCTCCATACTACTTAGTTGAGCAAATGAAGTGATAAGTACCGCAACTTTTGATTAACATATTGGTGGTGCAACTTGACCGCTCAACTTTACCACTCACCGTTTCTCGAGCAAGGAGATCAAGATGACAGGGAAGCTCGGATTATTTCTCAGCATAACATACAGTGTAAGATCAGAATTAGTGACTGTTTTCCGCCCTCTTTCCGATGCTCATTTGAAGTCATTATGGATTCTCTTTTTTCGTTCGATTTACTATCACTTGACAACTTTTGTGATAACAAGAACTCATTGGGCTCAAGTCAAGCAAAGACGACTTGTTTGCAGTGGAGGAGGTATTCTACAACTAGCTCAAGGACGCATATTTCTGCAGATGACTTGGAATAGAATCATACAAGCCTTTGCTCTCTAACCAACTCTTAGAAAATAAACGAGTTTGATACTTCGCTGCACTATCACACATCATTGTCACAATCCGATGACCTTTTCCAAGTTGCTCGGCCATCTTCACCGCTGCTGCCACATTTAGAGCTGAGCTCGCGCCGAGGTAAATACCTTCTTCATCCAACATCCTATAGACCATCAGAATACTATCTTCATCTGACACGAATATCGAATCATCTATCAAACCACCTTCGATTTCCGGTTTCAAGTTCTCAGTCACTCTACCTTGACCAATACCTTCGGTGATACTTCCCCCCTGACGATCCATCAGTTTACCACCTGACTTGATATAACTGTATAACACACTTCCAGGTGGATCGGCCTAGAAAACATTTGAACTTGACCATTTGAAACTTCTTTAAGATATCGTGTCACTCCTGCCAATGTTCCTCCTGTACCAGTTGAGCAAACAAATCCATCTAATTTTCCTTCAGTTTGTTGCCAGATCTCAGGTCCTGTCGTCTTGATGTGTGCGTGCCTGTTAGCAATGTTGTCAAACTGCAATAGAAGACATTTATCATCGGGAATATACCGCTTGAGTACCATAACTTATTGCTTAAACCTGAGATAATCTGACACTCACTTGATTGGTCCAGACTGCGTTTTCTATCCCTTCAGCATGCCGCGCAGCCTCTGAATAGAGAAGATATCATTCCAAAAAGCTTCTACTTATTCTTTATAGAGGAGATTAGAACGGCTTACGATGGTTATAGTTTTCAGGGTTGTCAAAAGCCACAGCTGCATTCAACACGCAAATCATATCGATCATTGTTCTCAAAAAATCTACAATCTATATGTATCACTCACCCGGAACAGGGTAAACTTCAGCACCCAGCATCTTCAACAAGTCAATCTTTTCCTGACTTTGTGTCTAAGGAAAAACACAACGATGAGTGAAGATTGTCAATAAGAAAGATTCTTATCGAGAGGTGCCAACCGAATCGTACATTAGGCATATAAATCACACATTTATACCCTCGACTTCGACATACATGAGCCAGTCCTATCCCTGTATTCCCCGCTGTACCTTCGATAACAGTTCCACCGGGCTTCAAGGTACCTTTGAAATTCCAGATAACTTAGTTCAATGTCTTCTTGATTTTGACAACATATCAAGTGAATCGAACCTTTTTCTTCTGCATCCTTTACTACCCATAATGCTGCTCTATCTTTCACACTTCCTCCGGGATTCATGAATTCTGCCTTACCAAGAATATCACAGCCGGTTTGAGAAGATAGGGAATTCAGTCGAATCTGATTATGAATTTCCCAATCCAGAGCTTAGCAATAGGTAATGATAAGATCGCTTCAACAATCTAAAAAGAGATCACTTACTAGTGGTGTATTACCAACGGCGCCCGTGAACCCCTGATAAAGTTGAAGACCATCATAAGTCTTGCTTGAACTTGGTCTCAATCCATAACTTGATTGATTGGACTTGAATGAAAGACTTTTTACAAATCCATACCTACGTCGACAGGTTTTGTTAAATGTCTCGTTACATCTGAAGTAAAGATTCCAGCATGACTTGTGAATGATTTCTTGGCCGTTACAAACCGATGGGTTTTGAATGTCCCATGCGAATGGCGGGATACTAGTCTTGAGCTTGAGTTCAACATCGATTGTGGTTGTCAAGAAATCGTGCTTTTGAGAATCACGACAGTGAGCGAAAGAGTCGCGATGAGGCGATGACGACATAATCTGTCTAATCCCATCGATGTATGCTTTGTACAGGGGTCAAAACCCATGAACCTTGGTGGCATACTTCATGTATGCTGACTATCAACTCTCATGCTGGGGCTCACTAACTCCTTCGAACTCATAATCATGAGTGCTTATCAAACATGAAAAATACTTCAGGCTGCAAGTCCATCCTAAATGATGTCAACTATTTGAGCCATTTTGCTGAATATACTCACTTCTGGAACCATTCTCACAATGGTTGCCAAGTAGTTTTGGTTTCATGGTCAAATCCGAATAACCCTGAATGGGACTGAGATAAGTTTTTCTTTTCCTTCAAATTTAGGGGAAGAAACCTCTATTTCTTTGAATCTGTGGAATAACACAACAGAGGGGCTAGGCTTGTAATACGAGTCCCAACAGCGGTAAGGCACTTGATCAGTTGTTATGCAAACAATTTTATCGCTCGATCGCGTCCGGGCTAAATGACTGAGATCGCGTTCGTATTTCATATTAGGAACGTAACTGGTACAGAAACTCAATTATGAGTCTAACAGGTGAAGGAGAGACATATTGTTTTGGATCTCCTCACCTTCTTTCTTAGAGAGACACGAGAAACAGCAGCAGTACATTTTCCTCACCGCCAAACTTCATCTTGAACCGAATATCTCCATTTACGCGTGCTTCATTGCTTCAATCTTACTAGCATCAGGTCTCACTATCTTTCATCGAATCAGATAAATTAATCCAGGCTCTACATTCAACCCTCGGTCTCAGATAAACCAAAGGGGCTGAGTAAACACGATCGCAGTTTGAAGTTTGGGAAGTTTCCAATTTGAAGGTATTTTGTTCTCCTACACTTCAAAAGATTCGTGAGAATTTCTTATAACTAATCCAATAAAATTGATTATAGTCATGCATTTTAGATCAGTATGCCTACTTTGTCTTTTCCTCAGTAATGTGATGGCAGAAAAAGAAGATGAAATGATATATCCAGGAGAATATATACTCATAGCAAAACAAACAGGACCAAAGATAACTCGAAAGAATTTAGATTCAAATAAAGATGGTGAAGAAAGTAAAGAGGTTTCAGATGTAATACCAGTGACACTTTCATTTGTTTTATCACCACCAGGAAAAGTTTTAGGACAACCATCAGATCAATTTCCAAATTTAACTAAAACTAATACAATATCTACCAAACCTACAATTGAAAAATTTAGATTATTAGATTCTAATGGGATCGAAAGATTAACGATTCCGACTTTAGCTCAGATTTCTACTTTTCAGTCACAATTACCCATTGATACACATCTTGGATTCAGTTCGGAAAAAGGTGTTCTCAAGAGACCTACAATTGCTACTTATTATCCTGATTGGAATCTTGATGTCTTAACACCTGAACAGATTGATTACTCTAAATATGACTTGATTGATTTTGGTAAGCTTAAAAAAGATTTTATATGACTGCCTTACTTTTTCATTTTAAATTCTTTCTAATTTGGTCAATCTTCATTCAATTATTTTGTTCAAACCCGATGATTTTTTTTGTTTCTGGGATCTCTCTGGGTATAAAAAATTAGCTTTTGCCATCCCAACTGAAGATTTCAATATAAAATTTACACAAGATAATTCGATTGAAACTTTAGATAAATTAGTTCAATATGCGCATGGAAATCAAACGTTAGTTTGTTTATCAATCGGTGGATGGGATGGATCTAAACACTTTTCTGAGGCTGTTAGAACTCCTAAAAGTAGAGAAAAATTTGCAAATAATATTCTCAAGATTGTACATGATCATAAATTAGATGGTGATTTAGTTTTGTTTACTTAAAACCCCGTCGCTCTTTTTTTACTCATTGTTGGAATTTTTGGTGATATTTCTTTTCAGGTATTGATATCGATTGGGAGTATCCAGCTCAAGCGGGGATACAAGATAATACCGTAGATGACAATGATTCGACTGCGCTGTTATTATTCTTTCACTTATTGAGAGACAAATTAGGCCCTTCAATGATTCTTTCGGCTGCAGTGACCGATTATACTTTCCTTGATAACCATGGTCATCGAATGGTAGATGTCAAGGCCTATGCAGAAGTCTTGGATCATATTTTGATCATGTCAGTCTGTATCTTCATAAGAATCCTAAAAGAGTGCTCTTTCTCACTGAAATTGACTCGCACTTTTAATCATTAGGAATTACGATTATACTGATGTTTCAGACACACCAGGTCCTAATTCTCCCTTTTCTAATGCTTGTGGTGATGCAACTCAACCTTCAGATAATATGGTTAGCGCCATCTCCGCATGGACAGATGCAGGATTTCCTGCTGATAAGATCTTAATGGGATTACCAGCTTATGGTTACATTCATTATGCATCTATAACT